CCCTCAGGTGAAAACCAGGTCTGTCGGGGAGACAGCTGTCTGTTATTTTATTGTTTTATTTTTTTTATTTAATTATCTCCCTTCTACGTGACTTTACCAAAAAAACCAAGAAGATGAATCCCTGCAGTCGCGAAAGCTTCAAATCGAGATTTAACAGCGCTTAGTTCCAGTGGCTCCCTAACATCGGAAGGAAGAGCACGTTCCGGACGATGGCCAGCCAAAAAGCCGTCGCCGCTGCGAGGATGACCGGAGTCCGCTTGATGGTTTATGTCAAACATCGACAATGCAACAGGACCATCGCTGTGGATTCAGCAAGCCTTTCCCTAGGTTAAAAACACTGGTCAACACACTTTTTCCAGCATAAGGTATTCCAACGGTTTAAGGTAATTTTGGGGTGCTGATTCCAAATCTGGCATCAGTTTTTGTTTATCACATCAGGTTTTTTGGGATATCAAATATTGCATTTTCAATAAAAACTGCAGAAGAAAAATATTAAATAAATGTGGATATCTACATAAAATCATATTATAAACACACTATCCTAAAAATACAGCACCATATTTTAACACTAAAGCAGTCACTGACTCGCAACAACTTGCAATCATAAGTGACAGAGTTAATTTCGGGTAAAATCAATGAAAATGGGGTATGCCGATAGCATAGAATGAGATGTGATAGAGCAAATCTGAGATCAGATTTGGAATCAGCACCTTGAAATTAGTCTAAAACAGCTGCAAAAGTCCATGCCAGAAAAAAATGTTTTTGTTTGTTTGTTGACCAGTGTAATGCACTTCGTTACGTTGGCAGAGTCTGAATGCCCGTCACCTCGTCTCGCACGGGTTTTGCTCCAGGCACTTCAGTTTCCTCTCGGTACGCACCGCAGCGGCGAGACGTTAACTACCTCGCCTGGTATTCAGGTCGTGGGTTCGGTCCCGATCCCGACGTCTGTATAATTGGAGCATGCGTCTCTCTCCCCGTGGTCGTGTGGATTTTTCTCTCTGGGTCCCCTGGTTTTCTCTCCCCATTTAGAAACATGCGCTTACGAGTATTTGGCTGCTATACATTTACACTTGATAAGCCACTTCGTTGAGCTGTCATTTGTGGCCAGTTCGCTTCTGAAAAAGAGCTACGCAGCTCAGTGGGCCTTACCCGGTAAAGTATAAAATAGTTAATAGTTTTAGTAAACAAGCATTAGTAGCCGTATTGGCCAGACATTCGAAACCATGACCCTCCTGAATAAGGGTCATTAAGGAACCGCTTCGTGATGTCATTTATCAAGGACCCACTGTCTCGTATTCACCACCTGGCATTGCGGCTCTTGAAATATTTGAGGTTTTTTACCGAATTAAAAAAAATGTCTCTTCTTGTTGTTGTGGTTGCCGACCCCCTGGTTTCGCTTTCCCAGGCAAAGTCATTTAATCGTGATTGTGAACAATAAATAAACAAAACAAACAATCCAATTTTCGAAGCAAGACTGGATTTTTGTTGTTGTTTGAGCCTTTTGCTTTGTAGAAAGAAATTCAACGTACATACACTCACACAGAGACCAATAAACTCACTACACAGAGACCCATAGACTCACTCAGAGACCCATAGCGTATTGTCCTTCCCCTGCAACTCCGATCAGCATGGTTACCTATGTAAACATATAGTCATCGTACAGCGCCATGGCATGCAATTAGCATGAACGATGCTCTACAAAATGGAATTATCACGCGTTGTTAAGCGTAAGACTGTTGGTGAAGAATACGGAAACAACGACTGAAGAAGAGTGCGCCAAGAAGCGTGGTGAGCGGCAAGCTTGGGATTGCACCGAGAGATGGAAAGAGGAACACAGGTCCGTGACCTCAAACTGAAAGTGGGTGAGGCCCAAAGGTCAAAAAAGAGTAAAAGAGTGGCAGCCGAGGAACGGACCATGCACCGAGTAGGAGATGGAGCGACAAAATGAGTTCGCGTGCAGTAGGTGCCGGGTGGATTCCACTGGTCAACACACTTTTTCTGGCACAAGGTATTCCAACGGTTTTAAAGTAATTTTGGGGTGCTGATTCCAAATCTGGCATCAGTTTTTGTCTATCACATCAGGTTTTTGAGATATCAAATATTGCATTTTCAATAAAAACTGCAGAAGAAAAATATTAAATAAATGTGGATATCTACATAAATGATATTATAAACATGCTATTCTAAAAATACAGCACCATATTTTAACACTAAAGCAGTCACTGACTCGCAACAACTTGCAATCATAAGTGACGTGACAGTTAATTTCGGGTAAAATCAATGGAAATGGGGTATGCCGATAGCATAAAAATGAGATGTGATAGAGCAAATCTGAGATCAGATTTGGAATCAGATTTGGAATAGTCTAAAACAGCTGCAAAAGTCCAGGCCAGAAATGTTTTGTTGTTGTTGACCAGTGTTATCACAAGCGGTGATGGCGGTGGTGACGGCCTGGGGGAGGCCTTCATCCAAGAAGTAAGTTGACCACGGCCAATAATGATTTACGACGAATGTCACGTGAATTGTCTGAGCAAGTGCGATGGCTTGGTGACATTGTGCTTCAGTCCTGGTCGCTCTCACGCGAGTGTCACCGCGCTTGTACAGAGCTGCACAAAGCGCGAGGGAACAAACGGAAAACAACGCAAACGAGACAAAGCTAAGTCGACCGCCGAATCAAAGTGTGACCCCAAAATCGTGGAAATTATCCAATTGGTGGAGGAATGAACCATTCCAGAAAGACACACGTTTATCAAAAAATATAAATAAACACATGGACCCATAGAGACTGTTGGCGGAAGTGCTGTTAGCGAGGACCAATTGAGGCCGGCACGTTGCACAAGAGCACGTCTCCCCAATACTGACGTCTACACACCTCACCAGGTACTCATTTGAGGCCAAGCCAGCCTAGGGGAGACCCGGGACGGCTTCTGAAATTCGTCACCAATGTTGGCCGTGAGTTGGAATCAAACTAGGGTGGCTGGGCTCGCAGAGCAGTGCAATAACTACCTCGGTATCCGCTCATCCACCGTAACGTACACACACACACACACAAAAGACAAAGATCCCCCATATCGCCCTAACAGACTGTTGGGGCAAGTTCTGTGCTCTTGCCCAGGACCGGTTCAGATATCTGTCACCGAAGTTGGCCACGAGCGAGAATCGAACTCAGGTCGCCGGGTTTGTAGCGCAGCGTGCCAACTCCGACCGCTTCCCCACTATTTGAATAACAATTGCACACACACACAGATGTCTATAAACACACACGCGTATAAATAGACAAACACGTGACATCACTTTATTGGGGAAAAAGCAGCGTGCTCTTCTTTGGCATTGCGGGTCGATATGTCACATCCAGAAATAGCATCACAGCCACAGTTTCCTGGGTAGAGGTCTCCCTCCTCCCCTCTCACTCCCTCCCTCCTTCCCTCCAGCAGGCACACATCGACAAAGATCCCCCATATAACCATAAAAGACCGTTGGGGCAAGTGTTGTTAGCGAACAGCACCTACGAAGGCTGACACGGCACACGATGGGGTGGGTGGCCAGCACCACGCCCGGCTGCCTTCGTCTCCCCGGTGGCGATGTTTACACACCGCACCAGGTACTCATTTGAGGCTGAGTCGATCGGTTCAGATAATCGTCACTGGTGTTTGACTACGAGCGGGAATCGAACTCGGGTCACTGGGTTTTGTAGCATGGCGCACTAACCATTACGCACGCAGACACGCACACACATGTTTGGCACGGAGCACGAGCAAAACACTCGCACGAGAGGGGGGGGGGTGGCGGCAAAGCACGTGCCGCGGAGACGTAAACACGGGCGCACACGCGCGCGGCGCACGGGAGAAGAGCGCGTGGCACGCCGTAGGGGAGCAACCGCAAGCAACAACCGCGAGCAACCTCAAGGAAATAGGAATAGTGAGCGACGCGTTGAGAAGCTGCCTGGCAATCGCGTGCGTCCGTTAATGGCCACGGGGGGAAACTGTGAGCGACCTCAAAAGGACGGGGGAACAATCGCGACGGACGTTTTCGAGGGAGCGGTCACGATTACGAAGCAACCGCGAGAGGTCAACAAACCTGCCCCCAGTAAGCAACCAAGCGCGGCCATCGACAACCGCGCGCGCAATCGCACGCGCTCGTGGGAAGCCCAGAAGTGACCTAGCCCCGACCGCGAGCAACTTCACGCAACCCATCGCTCGCGGCAAGAGCTACGGGCGACCTCGTGCGGAATAAAACCCTGCACGCGAGCCAGCGGCTGCCCGTACGGTGACACCGGGGAGGGCCCCGAGCCACGAGCAACAAGTCCCGCGCCGCAGGAGCGAAGCAACTCCCGGGAACATTAGCCCTGGGTTAGCCTTGACGGCCGAACACGCAACCCCGGGCCAAACCTCGACGCAACCGGCCTTGTACGTGGAGACGTGAGGGAGCAGACGCCCGCACACCCTCGCACTCCCACTGTCGCTCGCACTCCCCCACACTTCTCTCGTACTCTTTCCCTCGCACTCCCACTGTCGCATGCACCCCCACACACTTCTCTCGTACTCTTTCCCTCGCACTCCCACTGTCGCTCGCACTCCCACACTTCTCTCGCACTCTTTCCCTCGCACTCCCACTGTCGCTCGCACTCCCCCACACTTCTCTCGCACTCTTTCCCTCGCACCCCCACTGTCACTCGCACTCCCACTGTCGCTCGCACTCCCACACTTCTCTCGCACTCTTTCCCTCGCACCCCCACTGTCGCTCGCACTCCCACTGTCACTCGCACTCCCACACTTCTCTCGCACTCTTTCCCTCGCACTCCCACTGTCGCTCGCACTCCCCCACACTTCTCTCGCACTCTTTCCCTCGCACTCCCACTGTCGCTCGCACTCCCACTATCTCACACTCTCTCTTTTGCACTCCCATTCCCTCTTCTCACTCACACACACACAGCCTTGCACACCCTTCACGCACACTCGCCCCGCACACTCGCTCACACTCGAACCCGCTGGCTGGCTCACCTTGAGAGCCTTGTTCACCTTGCTGCTATTGCTGTTTGTCGTCATGCCACGCAGACTGGCAGTGCAGAGAAGGCCTCACTGCGGGTCGAGAAGAGACAGAAGGGTTGGGGTGGGGCGGGAGGACAAGGGGAGAGGGACCGGCGGTCAAACGCGTTTGCTCTTTCCAATGCTGCATGCTGCAAATGATCCGCTCGTGCAGCATCAGCGCAAATGAGTCTCCGTTTGTGTTCCACACGAAAGATGACGGACGGTCAACACGAGTGCATACATTTGTTAATGCCGCATGCTGCAATTGATTCCCGTGTGTTGCACGCTGGAAATTGATACTCGATTTCTGTTCGATACAAGAAGGGAGAACCAATTGGTAAACACTGCTACGCACACATCCATTGCTGCTGCTACATTGATTTCCCAATGCCAAATGCTGAAAATTATTCTCGACTTCTGGTCGACACAAGCGGAGAGGGACAAACGGTGAACACAGGTGCACTCATTTGCTGCCGCCGCCGCTGCTGCATGCTGCAAGCGATTCCCCAGCGCAGTGCGCTGCAAATAATTCTCCTGTTCCCTATTACACAGCAGCAGCAGCAACATCAGGAAGGCACGCTTCCTGCCGCAAACGCTTGTCGCTGGGTCTCGGCGGAAATGCCCGAGGCTCAGAGAAGCAGACCAAGGCCTTCGGACGGGAGAAGACGACGCAACAACGCGTGTCACACACGCGCAGATGCACACGTACAAACAATGGCAAAGATCCCCCGTGTAGCCTGCACAAGCCGCAGGGACAAGTTCCGTAAGCGAGCGCCGATTAAGGCCGGCACGGCACACGGGGGAGTGGGTGGCCAGCACCACGTCCGGCCGCATTTGTCTCGCCAGTGCCGATGTTTAAACACGGCCTACCAGGTACCCATTTATGGCCGAGTCCACCCAAGGGTGGCCCATTACCGATTCAGACATTAGTTACCGATATGGGGCAGTGGGAGAGAGTCGAACTCGGGTCGCTTGGTTTGTAACCCAGCGTGCTAACCACCACACTAGTGCTCCCCACTGCGCACACACGCACGCACAGGTGCACAGACGTGTGCACACACACACGTGCGCACACACGCACGCACAGGTGCACACACGTGCGCGCACACACGTGCACGAGCGTACACCTCAATGGCCGGAGCTGAGGCTGATGGGGAATTTTCTGCGCGACGTTCGCAAAGGCGAAATCAAAACGCAAAACCACTTCCGTGAGGTTTTTGTTGGAAAGCTGGAGAGAGCAGCAGCAGCACTGCTTTTACCAAGCCCTCGACCGCGTGGTGGTAACCCCCACACGCGAAAACGAGTTCCAAAAACCGTAGCAATTCGCGCGCTAACACCAACTCTAGCCCAAACATTGAGGTTTTATTTAGCCCTCATCTTAACAGCGGACCCCGTGGCTCTCGTACTAATTCGAGCCATAACACTAACACTTGTCCTCACACTCAAGCTCTTTGCACGAGCTCTAACCCTAACCCCCACACTTGCTCAGACCCTCACACTAGCCCGAACCCCATCAACATTAATAATAATAATTACCGACAGAGCTATGCGCACGTACACACGTGTGTATGTTGAAATTCTTTCGCATTGTACGTAGCCAACCGTGCTAATCGGAGGTGCGGGGGAAGGACAACAAACTAAACATGTTAGCGACATGACTGACAGCGCGGCCACTTCATCACTTGAAACTGGAATATTGACGCACGGAACACCAGCAACCCTGTCACTGCTGTGGTACACAAAAAAAAGACCCGCCGGAAAGCCTTAACAGACTGTAGGGGCAAGTGCTGTTAGCGAGCACCTATGAAGGGGGTGGGTGGCCAGCACCACGCCCGACCGCCTTTGTCTCCCCAGTGCCGATGTTTGCACACCGCACCAGGTACTCATTTCAGGCTGAGTCGACCTAGGGGAGGCCCAGGACCGGTTCAGATAATCGTGACTGGTGTTGGTCGTGAGTGGGAATCGAACTCAGGTGGCCAGGTTCATAGCGCAACACGCTAAACGCTACACTACCGCTCCCCACAAACGTGGTACACGCACACACACGACCCAGCACAAAGATCCCCCGTGTAGCCTTAACAAACTGTTGAGGCAAGTGCTGTTAGCAAGCACCTACGAGGTACCATAATACTCTCGCATACACACACACACATGACCCAGAACCTTTGTGAGGGAAACTAACCTCTAACCCTCTAGCACACAGACACACACGACTCAGTGAGAACCACGATGACACGTGGGATAGCCGCTGTTGTGATGAATGAATAAACATCCCCTCCTACCTACCTTCCCTCCACACGCAGCAATGGGATGGCGGGGGTTGAAGGTGAAGTGCTGGACATTGGGGCCAGAGCAACGGCCACAACAGGGAAAATAAATACACGACGATTTGCCTCTGAGCTGATAAGAGGAACTCCCACCGAACTCCCCGGCCAGTTTGCCCGCCTGCCCACCCACAGGCCTACGAACCCACCCACCCACCCACGCACCCACCTACCCACTCACCTACCCACCCACCTACCCACTCGTCCGCCCGCCCGCCTTTGAGGAACTACATCCACAATGGCCAAACGACCTTGCACACCAGACCGCGACCCCCTGTCCATCACGTACTCGCAGCACTCGCACCCAGAGACAAAGATCCCCCCGTGTAGCCCAAGCGGGTTGTTGGGGCCAGCGCTCTTCACGAGAACCCACGAAGGCCACCGGCACGGCACACCTATGAGAGGGCGGTGTGACCAGCACCACGCCCGGCCAGCCGCCTCCCGACTCCCCTGCCGTCAGATTTAACACACAGCACCGGGTACTCATTTAAGGCCGAGTCGAACTAGGGGAGGCCCAGGACCGGTTCAAATAATCGCCACTGGTGTTGGCCGTGAGTGGGAATCAAACTCAGGTGGCCAGGTTCATAGCGTAGCGCGCTAACCGCTACACTACCGCTTCCCACCATTACGTGTACACACACACACGCTCACACGCTCGCCAAAAGCACATGGCACTGGCGGACGAGACACAGACTGGCTAATGTTTTGGCGGTGGCGTTGGGAGTGAGTGGAGATTCTTACGGCTGTCAAGGGGTTTCCACTTTGGGAGTTTTTTTTTCTCGACTAAGTACCTAGCAAGTATCCCCGTGAAAAACGTGGCTCGGAAATTCGAAAAGACCGGCGACAAAATTTATACCGCAGCTTCTTTGAAGAGGTCATCCGATTTAAGTGCAAAACAGCTGGATGTGGACTTTACACATCCCAATTTTATTCATTTTGGTTTCAATATTTAAGGCAGCAGCGAATGAGAAAGAGTTATCAAACGGCTGCTCCGAAAACGACGAGCCGAGTTCGACTCCCCGGCCTTCCGAGATTGACGCCGAGTGCCGAGTGGTGACTTGAACCGGTCCAAGGGCCGGCTGCCTTCACTCAAACCCTCGCACTGACCAACGCCGTGAAGTACGGCCACACGACCTCCCTGACCGACACAACGGCGCGTTGTGCAGGGTCCTTTCATCCAGCAGTGGATTGACAACGTACTGTAAGTTCTGTGCAAGAATGGTGGCGGAGGAATATGTGTTTTGAATGCAAAGAAGTGGAGCAATTTCTCCTGCGGTACTTCCAATTGGAAAGTGAGCGATGCAGCTGTAGCTGTGGTTAACACGGGGGGGGGGGGAGGGGGGTGGCAAGGCTGGTGTGATCAATGATGTTGAAATGACGATGTTGCTTCATCACACGGGAAGTGGAGATGGGAGGGATTGAGATGATGCTCAACGTCACAGAACTCAGTGTCACAGCATCAGACGCTCGCTCGAAAACACCAACGCATCACAGCGGTGTGACTGAGTGTGGTGGTGTGAGAGTGAGTAGTATTGCCACTTTTTCTGTACTGCACTATCACATACTCACCCATGAACACCATAGCATAACATACACAAAAACACACACACATTACTGTATATACCTGTACAAGTGTACAACATTTCAGCATACGTGAACAAGACAAAGATCCCCGTATAGCCTACACAGACTGTAGGGACAAGTGCTATTAGTGAGCACCTATGAAGGCAGGCACAGCACACGAGAGGGTGGGTGGTCAGCACCACGCCCGGCCGCCTTTGTCTCCCAAGTGGAAATGTTTTACACACCGCACCAGGTACTCATTGAGGCAGGACCGGTTCAGATAATCGTCACTTGTTGGCCGTGAGCGGGAATCGAACTCGGGTCGCCGGGTTCGTAGTGCAGCGCGCTAACCACTGCGCCACCACTCCTCATCTGTCCAACATTCATGCATACATGAACACACACACATATGTACTACAATACCTATGCATGTGTGCATACGAAACGTTGAGAAGGCTACGCATGCACGTGCTTCATGTGACTGTGCATGTATGCTCAGCGCACGCAGTTTCACACGCAGACACAGACAACATTGCGTCAGTGAAAAAATGTGCGATCGTTTAAGGGCCAGAACAGAGAAACCAGGAGCACATGGGGTGTCACGTGACTCACAGCAACACTGCACCAAGTTCAGCAGCACGTGTACGTACTCGCCCACTCCGTCACATCGCCTTTGTGCCACAGGTAGAACTGCTTTTTGTGTGTTCACATCTTGTCCTTCCACCGCACTTCCGATCAGCAAAGGTTGGCTACGTACGACGGGAAAAGAATTTCAACGCACATACAGCAAGGATGTGACACCTGTGGTAAAAATGCGATGTTACATAGCACGCACAGGTAGTCTGAAAGTCCAATCACCCTCCTCCTCTTGCCACCACCACCATCACCTCTACCAAGGCGGCAGGTGTGGTAGGTATGTATGTACCTTGACATTATTTCGCACCGTACGTAGCCAGCCGTGCTAATCGGAGGTGCCGGGGTAAGCACGGTCAACTGAAGACAAAAAGCAGTTGTTAAGAAATTAGTTTTCAATCTAAAGTGTGGGTAGGCCCACCTCCTCCAATACGTTTTGCTCAACGTGGAAGAGTAGGCCAAATACTCTCCAGAGCTCACTCTAGTTGCAGGCCCCTTCCACCAGCAGTGCCATGAGCAAGCACGACAGCA